TTAAACTCTAAAAAGAAATACAAAACAAAATACTAAAAGATCTTAATGGAATGACTAAAACTACTTGTTATAAGATATATTAAAAAAATGTGTTTTTAGTTGTTTCAATTAAAAATGTTAAGAGATTTTATTTCCCGAATATGTGCTGGAAGGCTGTTCCACAATGTGGGGGCAGCAGCATAAAAAGAGCGAGCTCCTAGTGTCGAAAGCATACGCCCCTTTGGACGATCTAAAAACAAAGTGATATCACTATCTATGTCATTTYGCCCTCATGAAGTCTTGAAGATAAACAGTTACTTTGTTTAACTGTTGAAATTCACCTAATAAGAATTTTGGCTGTCAACTGTGTCTAAGTTTGGATGAGCAAAGTATCAAAGTATTATCATTAAAAATCAATCATATGGAATTTTGGAATAATATCACTACACTGAGCGTTGATTAGCAGCATGGTGATAGGTATCATTCTCTACATGAATTCCAGCTTGACAAGTTGATTTAAGTATAGTATATCTTCAATTATTCCACAAAATTAGATATTAACAGGGAAAGTAGTGTTWAGGACACTTAGTGATAGTAATGCACTTAGTAATACATAATTTGAGCTGCATAGTATMATTTTGCAACTTACGTGGTGAAAAAAGTACACCAAGTTGAAAAGTTTCACCAGATTCCAAGGTGATTGGAGGAATGGTGCTGTGTTTGTGAGCTGAGGATGTTGTGAAGGGTGATCCAGTRCGGTGAAGGAATTTAAAGGTACCATTTTCTAAGAGTGGTCCAGCAGACTTGGTATGAAGTGTCCAGGTAAGAGGGTGATCACTGTTATTGACAAACATGCAGCCCTGTTAAGCAATAAAACAAATTAGAACATAAAATGATATCAAACACACACAAAATAAATATTATCAACAACTTGAACAACAATAACAAACAACAGTTGATAACACAAAATATTATGTTACTGTATAATTATGCTAACCTGAGCTCTGCCTGCACCAGATTCAATTCCAAGATCAAAGTAGCCTGATGGAAGTGAGAACTCCAATCTTGTGTGGGACAACTGTAATGGAGGTCTAAGGGCTGTGGCCAGTACTCGGCGGCTAGGTGTSGCTATACCAGTAACACATGGAGCAGGTGTTTCCAGGTCAGAGATGGTCCAATTTGTTCTTGAGGGTACCGGGGTGGGKGGGTATAATGAAGGGGGTGGTGATGGGGCAAATATGTTGTTGATAATCACAGGCATTACAAAGTCATATGCAGCAACCTATGGATAAGATTTATCCAGTTAAAATTTGTTTAACAAAAGTGCAGTGGGCAATTAAAGTAAAGTATTGTACCTCAGAAGGAGARAATTCAAGAACACAGTCTATTGTTTGATTGGCAGCAAGATGCAAGAAGTAGATACCATCACCACAGTACACTGGATCATCTCTTTCATCTACATCAAACACTTTAAGTGAAAAGTCCATGTAACGTGATAAGTTCATTTCAAGCCTTGCTTCAGTGCGACCCTTTAACAAAAAATGACATATCAATAGTCTGATTGAAATCATTTCATTTCATATCATTTCAATACAAAACTAGAGTATAGAAAGGATCTATTATAGTGACTTACGAGATTCTGCATTTTGAAGGGAATCTTTGAAAGTGCACCACAGTGGACTCCACCAAAACGAAAAGTATCCTAAAATTAATTAAAAATTGTTTTTATAATAAATAATAGCAGAAACATGTTAAGACAACATTTTTATCAAATAATTGAATTTTCACATCTCCAAGTGACCATTCCTTTATTGCTTCTAGGCATTACTTTGACAGGACTAAAACAGGTTTGTTAATTTAGTAAATAAACCCCTTCTGGCAGCTGGGATATCGGCTGATAATGTACGAGGATGAGAACGGTCCGAAAAATGAACATTTGGCCGAGAAGCGAAGCTTCGAGGGCAAATGTGATATTTTGAGGACTATTTCTCTTCCGAGGACATTATCAGCCGATATCCCAGTGAGCCAAGAAGGGGTTTATTTTTATATCCCAATGAATTCATTTTGTTGTGTTGAGGAAAAAAAGCCATCAAAGTGCAAGGTAAAATCTACACATGTGATGGTGATTTGGTTCACAGTAATTTTTTCGTTATTTCATTGGTTAATCATTTGACAAGTGTTGACGAGGCGGCAAAAGTCTCTACTGAAGTAAAAACTACAAATTTATTGCTGCGTTTAGCGTAAATTACAAGTCTTTTTAGACAGAAAACCTAGAAAATGAGTGTCTTCAGTTCTTTTGCTTTGAGCTGAAGTGAAAATGATAGCCATTAGACATAGAATTTGCGAAATTAATAGACACAGAACAAACTAGCGAGTGAAAATGTTTGTAAACAAACCGGCATTTTAGGGGCTGGTAATTTTCTCAACGTAAAATACGTTCACAGCGTACTTTTAGTCGACTTATTTGTATTTCCAGATGTCTTTTTGTCAACTAGATTTTTTATTCTCATCATCAGAGCTCTTTAAAAAGCGGTTTTGATCACTTTCCATAGCTTTTTTTRWGTCAAAAACAMATCTSAAAACTTACRCGGACAAATATCACCTTCGGACGGGGGATATCGCCTGATACCCGTCCGCCGAAAATGTACCACGTGACRCCTTTGGACCAATGGATGCGCTTGAAAATATATTGTTGGGATATAACTGATGATACATGTAGCTAGCATCAGCCATTATATCTAACTTCTGCAAATTTCTGTTTGTATGCATGGTCTATGGATTTACTTGACTTCCAGATCACAACTGATTGCATATTATTTTTTGTAATTAATGTACTTTGATTTCAATCATCAATGAGTGAGTTAATACATTTTCAAAAGGCCTGACTTACCACATCCACATCCACACAAGGTGGCTCAACAGTACCACCTACACGAAGCGTTAGCATTTTCCCCCCACGAATATTAACTTGGATATTTGTATCAAACTTGTGTATTGCATCTGGATGGTAGTCAACCTATTAACAGTCAGGTAGGCTGTTGTCAATACTATTATCAATTATTGGGGTATTGATCAAAGCTGGATAAATTGAAAAAGCACAATATTCATATATTACATGTTAGTAGTAATAATATATCAATTAGAAGCTTTCACCTGTTTTCAATTACAGATTGCAAATAATTTTACATCATTCACTTGTGGGAAATAATAATGAGATGAACACTAGCAGTAATATATAGAGCAAACACACTTGAACCATGAAATTAATAAAACTATAAAAATAATTATTAATTGACTAAGATGGCAATCTTACTATTATAATTTTATTATACAACGCTTTATGTCTAACATAGCAATATTTCAATTACATGGCATTATCATACTAACGGTAATTTCTGCTGTTCCACCAACAGSAATTATTCCTTCTTTAGGACTCATGGACATTCCTTGGATTGGATGTGTGTCAACAATCTAGACAACATGAAAATAGTTACCCAAAGATCCATTAAACTATTTGACTGTAACAATTATAGTTGATGTAAGCATTTAAATTTTTAAAAAGTTTAAAGTTACCTCAAAGTAAGCATGATTATTGCCTGTGTTTTTTATGGATACACTCTTAGTGGTTGTCAAGTTGAGAGGGACTGGTCCAAAAAGTAAGCGTCTTTCTACAAATGAGCAGCTTGTAGGCCCCACCTGAGTCAAGTCATGATATKAGATCAATTGTCTGTGCCAACAAAACCAATATGGCTTTGTTCATTATAAATCATGTAATCATCTAAATATTTTTTGATGTTTAATACCTTGGCTAAACACTTTAAAGTCTTTTGCTCCCCTCCATTAACATGTAAAGCAAAGTCTGTTTCCCATGGAGTTGAGAATGTTGGCATATAGCATATCTGACACATCATATTGGTAAAAGCATCAACCACACCTACAGCAAACAATTAATCACATAATTAGATTAACATTTAATTTTAGGAGGATCTGTTATACAACTTTCATATATAGTTRTGCACGTAGTAGTACTGTACATGTCACTGATGTACACATAGCCTTCTATGTGTACATGTCTGAGAGAACAAAATGAATTCTACTCTTTTATGAGGATTTGAAATCAAAAACATTTATTATTGCTTTAGTTTTAAGCCTATAGCCATTACAAAAAGCATAACTATTAAAACTATTAGCTGATAGTTAGTTAATTAAATGCATGCAGCATAAATCAAGTTTTTTTTCATAAATCAAGTTAATTAAAACAAATAATAATACTGATAATAATACTGAAAAGGCTGAAAAGAGTTATAATAAGCTAATTTCAAGTACTTGTCTAGTATAATAACCTTGTGATGGTCTAATAGAGAAGGCAGTTCCTAGTTCCGTTATTATTGGTTCCCAGGTAAACTCTGCTGGGTAGTTTCTGTTGTTAAACAAAGTTATTGACCCCTGCAAACCTGTGCAAAAATAGTAAAACCTTTACAAAAACAATATACAAACAATGAATGGTTTGAGTGATAATTAAGRTTTACCTGTTTCCCATAGTGTTCCAGGACAAGGTTGTAGTGTTACCACATGAGTAGCAAGCTCAAGGTCAACAGGTACAACATCAGCTGTTACAACAATGTGTTGTCGATGATGACCATTGATTGTGTAATCTACACTCCTGTCAACAACAGAAACATAACAAAACACTAAGCTTTTGCGTGYTTCTTCTTCTTCAACTGTATAGAGAGAGGTACTGTAAGCAAGTGATTGCAGCCGGTGTGACRGTGTCACTATGACAGGGTTACACGGGATACCCACACTCACCTAATAAAACAAGCTCATCTTTTTGTGACTTTAAGATTATGTCATTGACAGTTGAACTAATTCATCAACAAATGAGTTCCTTATGACTTTAACATAAATATAACAAGCTTGAAGGTAGATGATGGGATGTGCTCACCTTTCAAAATGACCTTTGGAATTTGATTCAAACATGAGAGTCARTTTTGCCAATGAATGAGGAGGAACCACTTGTGATAGTGGTGATGTCTGTCTTAACTCACGGCTGTCAATCTAGAAACATATAATAATTTTCATAACAGATTACCGGTATTTATCTCTGTCTGGTAGAATTGATCTTATTTTCATCACTACTGTCTTGATAGGGTCATTGATGATTACTTTAACTTTATGAGATATTATTTGTAGTCAAACTGTACATTTAAAAAAATATATTATCAAACGACTAGTACTTACTCTGGCTACAATGTGAATATGAGCATCCAAGTTATTTGCTATCATCAGATCTTGACTACTAATAGATCGCAAGCACACTTGTCCAAAGTCAACTAATGACGGACCTGAATAAGAACAATATTTATAAAGTAATTATGATTGCTGTAATTGTATAAGTTGTGGATCAATGTTATGCTCTTTGACTTCATGACGAATCAGACTAAKCACTGTTTTGCTGTCTCACATAGTCTTACAGCAAAGCTTAAACAACCTGCATCAYCATTGCTGGTTTTCAATTTATGTCTTAGTAATA